ACACACACACACACACACACACACACACACACACACACATACACACACATACACATAAACAAACATTAACACACACACTCATACACATAAACGCACACAAACGCATACACACACATACTCTCACATATGCTTGAGCGGGGGAACACACCAGAAAGACAACGAGAGAATGCAAGGTATGAGAGAAAAGAGACAGAGAGTTCAAGAGAAAAGTGTGTTGCGAAAGGAACACGGACATGGAGAGGGAAAACTACATGTTGAACAGAGCTGACGTGGGAGAGTTTTAGCATATGTCTTAATAGTAGAAGATGACGAACACTTATAGGATGTATTAAATATAATCGTACAAGAGAGTGACAACATGGGCCTAAGCCTGAACATCAAGAAAACTGAAACAATGGTGATAAGCCGAAAAATTCCAACCCCAACCTGCCATATGAAAATCAATGGTACCACCCACAAGCAAGCATAACATTTTAAATATTTGGGGATCATTATATCATAAGATGTGAGAAGTCACACGGAAATTAAAAGCCACTTTTGCAAAAGCAACCTTCCACAAAATGAAACAGATTCTTACAAATATCAATCTGTCATTGGAAATAAGAAAAAGAGTAATGAAAAGATACATCGAGCAAATCCTATTGTACGGGTGCGAAGCACGGACAATCAATAGACCGCTGGAAAGAACAATTGAGGCGAATAAGTTGTGGTTAATAAGACGATTGCTGCGTATCTCATGGACGGCTAGAAAAACAAAATGAAGAATTACCTGTATTACCTGTCCTGTGCAACAACGTCATTGCAGGTCCATAAGTGCTCAGTTCCTCTCAGCACCAAAGAAGACAAGGTATCCATAATGGTTGTTCCAGTGGTTGTTTGATTATGGCGACGTCTTTTCTTTCCAGATAATCGTTGCTTTCTTCCTTCCCCGCTCTGTATTCCCGTTTCCCGCATCCTGATGATTGCGAGGTGTTTTGCTGTTTCTCTGTCTTCCTCACCCCGCAACTTTTCCTCCAGGGTCTTCAACGCGTCTCCTTTGTCAAATTTCACCTCACCATCAACCATGGCACTGCCCGCCAGCCTATCAACCCCCTCATTGCCCTTTACTCAAGAGTGCCCAGGACAGAATATTCACGTGATGGCTCCAAGTGATGAGTGTTGTATTGGGCTCATCAATCCACTCTGCAGCAGTCCTTTCTCAACCCTCCACAGGACGCATTGGGAGTCTGTGACAATAATGGAATGGAATGGGTAGTTCTTGGTCTTGTATTTTGAAGCCTGCTAAGCGCTCTTGTTATGGCCTCAATCTCCATTTTCATGCTTGAAATATTGTTCTTTCTATGGCCCCTGACATACTATGAACCTGTTTGTTCCCACTGTACTCCACAAAACCCCACCCACTTGTCTCCCCCCTCCTGACCGATCAATCCGTGTAGATCATTGGGTCCTCTGGCTAAGAGTGCTCCTCAATTAACTGTCGTGTGTTGTTGTTGTTAATGACAGCAGCACATAACCGTCTTTCACGACCCATAGTGATGTGAACGTTGGCCAGGCTGCTGCAATCGGGGCTCAGTTCAAACCATTCCTTTCCACTGCATATTTCAACGATGCCACAACTTTCCTCAAGGAGTCTTCAGCTTCTGCCATCAATGAGCTGCCCGTTTGATTCTATTTTCTTTAATGCTGCTTAGGTTGTCATGAAAATGATGCCTCCGGTCTCCCACAACATTCAAGTGCAGCTTTGCCTGTGCCACCTTATGCCGAACTCCGATGCTGACCAGGTCCAGGATGTATCTCATACAGACAACATGGGTGTCCTTTGTGCAACCCAAGACTGCCCTCATAGCTGCATTCTGTACTCTCTCCAACCTCTCTATCTGAGTCTATGATTGACAGAACAACCAGCTGCATTAGAAGAAAAAGAATTCTCTGTTGAATTCCCACTGAAGCCAAGGTCTTCACTACATTAATACCCTTCTGAGCCCTGACAGCAACATTGTCAATAATGTTTTCGGAAAGAAAGTGTCTTGTCAAGAGTGATTCCCAGGTACTCCAACTCATGCTATCTGTCTAGGGTCAAACACAATTGAAAGGGTTGGATATGTCCCAATACGGTAGTTGAGTGAGCACCAGATGACCTGTGCTTTGTCTGGATTGATGACCACATTGTATTCCTCACACCAATCTGCGACCTTGATCAGCCCGTCCTGTAGCATCTGTCCAGCCGCTAGCCTATCACGACCTTGTCCGTTGACCATAACATCATCTGCAAATGTTAAGATTCTCCCTGTTCCACGTACACCGATCCTGGTATTTTTGGATGTATAACTGTTGAACAGGACCGGTGATAAGGCTGGTCCTTGTGGCAGTCCTGAGGCAATCACTACTGGGTCTGACATCCATCGCCCACTTCTTAGCGCCACCTTTCTCTCAAACAGAGATCCATTGTACCAACCAGGGATCAACATCCATTTCCGTCAGGAAATCTATGAGCTTGCCGTAATTGACTCGGCTGTAAGCATCCTCTAGGTCTATAGCAGCCATTGCTGTCTCCTCCCTTCTCTGGAACCCTTCAAATACATCAAAATCTAACACATCCGTGTTTGTGCAGGTGTCTTTCCCTGGTCTGTAGCTTCCAAGACCGTCTGGAAGGAGCTTTTTCCTCTCTTGGTAATTTGCCAGCCTTCGGACCACAATCTTTCCCGGATCTTTCCATACGTGTTCTGCATGGTGATAATTATCTGCATCCCTTGATATTAAAGTGGTCTTTGCCTGGTTTAGGAAGAGGCATGAAGAAGCTGTGTAGCTACTCCTCTTGGATTTTGCCTTCGGCCAGACTCACGTTGAAGTCCTCCACCATGCCCTGTAGATCGTCTTCAGCTTAAAATGGCTGTTTATCACCCCATCAGGCCCTGCTGCATTGTCCTTCGTTCCGCTTATTACCCACTTCACTTTCTGTAATGTGACACCCTCTCCATACAGTACCTTTTGCACAGCAGTTTTCATAAATGTCCGTATGTTAGCACGCTCCTCCTTGTTGCCTTGGTGAGTCTGCTTGTGTATCTCTCAAGGAAAGCTGGACCTTTTGCTTCATCTGTCTCCAGTAGCCTATCGCTGTCATCTTTAACAAACAGGGAGCCAACGTCAGTCTTTAATCCCTCTATTTTTCTCTGCAATTTCCAGAACCTATCGGGAGAGAAAATTTGAAAAGGGAAACACACACACACACACACACACACACACACACACACACACACACACACACACATACAGATAGAGCGAGTGAGAAAGAGAGAGAACAGAGAAACAGAGAGACGGATGGCAACTTAGAAAGACAGAAGGTTACACACACACACACACACACACACACACACACACACACACACACACACACACACACACACACACAAACAAACACTTATACACACGAACACATAAACACATATACACAAACCCACTCACATCCACCAACATAATATTAAGCTACCCCTCCCTTTTACTCCCCAAAAACCTCCGGCTCAACACAAAAAAAAAGCACAAGCAGCAATAATCGACCCCACCGTCACTTAACCACGCTCCTAACGAGGGGAGACACAGAGGGTGAGCAGACTCCACTCCACCACCACACGACACAACATACGGGTGGAGACGGTCACTCCGGCCACTGACCACTGGCCCCGCGACCGCCCCTGACCACCGCACCAACTACTGTGGAGTGACCGCTGGGTGGGTACCACCGTTGCGTGCAGGACACGCGCACAAGCTCATGTCATTCAAGATGCATTAGGCCAGAGCCAGCCAGCAACGCGACATGATGTCAACCGGACCGCACAACTGGCCCTGGGGAATGATTGCTATTTCCCCCACTGGGAACTGCAGCGTTGCACTGAATAACAGGTGGATTTCCTTATAACTAGCGAATGAATGAATGAATGAATAAATGAATGAAAGAATTAATTAATTGGGCCTAATTAATTAATCAGTCGACCCCCGCCCACCAACCAGACGACCAATAAACTTGGGTGTCAAGAAGATTAGCAACCTAAATGAATAAACGAATGAAGGAACAAAATCAACCAACTGACCAATAAACGTGGGTGTCCATAAGACTAGCATACGAAAGAATGAATAGATAAATGAACAAAGGAATGAAGGGACAAAGGTAACCAGACGACCTGGCCAGCCAGCAACGCGACATGATGTCAACCGCACAACTGGCCCTGGGGAATGATTGCCATTTCCCCCAGTGGGGCTGAACCCGTTGGGGCGACTTACTGCAATGAATAGCAGGTGGATTTCCGAATAGAAAGCGAATTAGCGAATTAATTAATTGAATGAATGATTGAATGAATGAATGATTGAATGAATGAATGAATGAATGAATGAATGATAATGATAATAATAATAATCATCATAA